CCACCCCACCCCGCATCCTCTGTTGGGGCCACAGATTACACGGATCAGTCTGAGCCGGCACTGCCGACTATTTATCGGCACCTAAGCCGGCCAATCTCGCGGAGACGCACCGTGCCTTTTATTTCTCCCAGGTGGACGTGCGCCGCGCCGCACCAAAACACGTTACACTACGTCCCAGCATGCTGCGTCACACCGCACCCAATGCATGACACTCCGCCACATCATGCCGCACCAACACCGTGTCCCACTCTGTCAGACCGCGCCGCACCACACCCAATCACACCAAGCCCCACTGCACTGCATCACACCGCATCATACCGCATCACATCGCACCACACTGCATGACACCATGACAGATCATGCCACACCCACACCGTGCCATGTCACGCCATGTCACACCATATTACACTGTGCTGGACAATGCTACATTGCCCTATATCCCAATGGGCATTGGCAGAACTGCAGTTCTCTTAGGTTGAGCAATGCTCCTACTCCATCATCGTCATCATTATTTATCATAAGCTATTATCAATCCACTGCTGGATGGAGGCCACACTTTCTTGTCTAAATTAATCAATCCGCACCCCCGTGGTTCTGATATCACTCACCACTGTTGAATTGAACCCAGGTCGCAGGGTTCGTAGCACAGTAGGCTCACCAGATTACTGCTTCACATAGACCCAAAAGGCATAAGCAGAGACATATACACAAACATATAAGCACACGTACTAAATCACCACAGCATCACGTCGTGAGTAAATGTCTCTTCCAGAAGACAACTTCCAGGCAAATAACATCATCGCATGGTACGGCATACCAAGTCAGAGAGAAAGAGACAAACACCCCTGTATGGTCCACACAGGCTTTTGGGGCAAGTGCTATTACAGTTGGCATGGCACACGAAGGGGCAGTGTGGCCAGCACCACACCCAGCCGCCTTTGTCTTCCCACCGCAGCAGGTACTAATTTGAGGCTGAGTTGACCCAGGAGAGGTCCAGGACCGGTTCAGATAACCTTCACTGGTGTTGGCTGTGAGCGAGAATCGAATTCGGGTCGTTGGGTTCGCAGCGCTGCGTGCTAACTGCTGCGCCACCAATCCTCACACACGCACACACACGCGCATGCCACAGCTCTAATGGTGTCTGTGCTCCGTCTCGCAGAGAGCACGGTGCATGGTAGACCCAGCGGTATAAATAGCTTGCGTTTCAAACAGCAGAGCATTGCAAGAACAGAGTACCGCTCGCTCGCGGAGTCACTGCCAACCCTCCCACCACCACCGCCACCACTGCTAGCACCACCGCAAACATCGCCACGACTGGCAATACCACCACCGCCACCAGCAATACTGCCAAACACCACAAACGTCACTACAATCGGCAGCACCACCACCACCCACACCAAAGATCCCCCGTGTAGCCTTAACAGACTGTAGGGGCAAGTACTGTTCGCGAGCACCTATAAAGGCCGGCACGGCACACGAGAGGGTGGGTGTCCAACACCACGCCGGGCCGCCTTTGTCTCCCTAGTGACGATGTTTACACATCGCACCAGGTACTCACTTGAGGTTGAGTCGACCTAGGGGAGGCCCAGGACCGCTTCAGATAATCGTCACTGGTGTTCGCCATGAGCGGGAATCGAACTCACACCGCCGGGTTCGTAGCAAGATGCGCTAACCACTGTGCCACCACTCCCCACGATCACCACCAAGACAACCGCAGTCACCACCACTAGCAAGCACCACCACCACCTCAAGAGACTGTCTCTCCTAGCATGGAAAAGCAAAGCCTGAAGCCACCTGACCCCGTCCAGAATATCCATCTCCACTGCTGGACAGATCACAAGACAAATATATATGTGCCCAGCACACCTCTTTTTTCTCTATGTGCCATGCCCTTTCTCAAATACGTCAGCGATTATGGCCTATCATTTAGCTCTGTCTAAAATGCTACTCAACAACCATAATTACACTCCTCCCAGTTGCATCCTGTTGTTTAAATTGCTCATGCAACTGAATTCTCTATCTGCCCCTGCTTCTCATACATAAAACGTTCCCAGTCAAAAACACATTCATATTCAGTATCTTTTTCTCATTACACGTCCAGGAAACCTAACTTTGCCTTTCTCTAATTATTCTCGCGAATGTTCTTGTTGTGGACCCTGAAATCCGTAACACCCGTATGTTATTCATCTTGTATGTCCATTAAATGTTTTGAACATCTTTCTATATAAAACACATTAATGTTTCTTTTTAGTTCAATGCAGGGTCTGTGCCATTATTCAGCTTTCACGCCCGTACAGATCTGCACGTGTAACACTGTAGTTATACAATTCTCGCTTTTCATTATTCATTTCTTATTTTTCAATCAAGATCCAATTTTCTGTCATACATCTTTTTGCCAGCGATATTTCTCCGTTCATCTTTGCGATGCGCCGCAGTATAGGACACACATCGCGGGAGAGAGGAGGCCAACGCTGGGTCAACGTTGCTCCGATGGTCCCGACCACATGCCAACGTTGGCATGCTTACTGGGCGCATTCATTGTACTCATACATTTATTTATGCGTGGACGCGCGTGCCATTTCTCGAGCCTTCTGGCGATCATAACACTGGTGGCGTGCGTGTGTGTGTGTTCACAAAAATACAAATAAAAATTATCGTGAACTGGCGAGGAACAAAGCCCAGGTATCATAATATTTGGCAGACTCTTTATTTAGACTTAAGGAGGAATCCGATGAGCTATGAAGCTCTTTTTCACAGGTGTCCAGTAGGGGTGGGTCTAGCAAGTTACAACAATAAACACATATAGGAATGCAAAATAGAGAAAAATAAGCCACTAAAATATGTAATTAAATATTAAGGATATAAGTAACAATAGCCTAAGTAGATACATATCTGGCGATTTATCAACACTAAATGCAAGCTTGGACAAGGCAAAACAACAACAAAAACAACAGTCCCAGACCACACTAAGACATCACGCAGTAGTCCCTCAATTAAATTGCACATTAAAATTGAACTTTCAATACATGGGTAAGGATTAACGTTACAATAACATTGTCAAATGTGTTTGTATCCAGCACTAATTCTGCTTCAGGATATTTTTTAAAGGAAGATTTACGATGTTAAGGGAGGTAGACAAGGTTGTTCCAAAAGTTGGTGGTGCTGCAACGTCAAAGGCTTTGTTACCTATTTCAATTCTTGTTCTTAGGGATAGTTAAAAGGCAAATAAATGGACGTCTCAGGTTTGTTGGGTTTGACAATGAGAAATCATCGCAGCGCTGCCTCAGTGCAGCGAGCACGGACGCCGCGACCAACGACGACGACGCGCAGAGAAACGGTGGCAACACGAGAGGGGCTTTGCCATCGAGTGCCAGGGTAGATGCAGGGCGACATCCAGACTCGTATAGGGAGTCGTAGACTCACGTACAGGCCCAGAGACTTACGCAGGGCATCAGACTCGCAAACAGACTGACAAAACTCACAGAAAGACGCATAGAGCCTCATACAGTCACTCCTCGCTGAACGTCGGGGTTGCGTTCCTGAAAAATGTGACTTTAAGTGAAGCGACGCTAAGTGAAACCGATTTTCCCAAAAGAAGTAATGTAAATAGGGGAGGTTGTGTTCCTGGGAAATTTCCAATCACACTTGGGAACATAATAAACTTTCTTAACATACATATTTAAAAGAAAAATATTAATAACACTGGTGATTAACAGTAGCTGTAAGTAGAGAAAAGTTTCGTTTAGGTTAACACTCACCAGTATGTGCTGTGAAGGGCCATTGCCTGAAACGTAATTGATTATTTAGCTTCCTTTTCAGGCCACACACAGTGCTTATCATTGACGAATGTATTGAGTTGAATTTTTTGAGAATTAATCTCAGGTCGGCCAGGCTCTTAGCGCAGTGTGCTAACCACTGCACCAAAGACAAAGATCACCCTGTAGCGTTTAATAGACTCGGGGCAAGTGCTGTTAGCAAGTAGGACCTATGAAGACTGGCACGGCATACAAGGGGGTGGTAGGTGGCCAGCACCACGCATGCCCGGCTGCCTTTGTCTCCTATGTGCTGATGTGTACACACTGCACCAGGTACTCATTTGGGGCTGAGTCGACCTAGGGGAGGCCCAGGAGCTGTTTCAGATAATCGCTGAAACTGTTGTTGGTAGTGGTGGCTGTGAGCAGGAATCAAACTCGGGTTTCTGCTGGGTTCGTCGCGCAGTGCACTGACCACTGCGCCACCTTTCCCCAGTCACTCTCACGCACAACAATAAACAACAATTGCCGTTCACAATCAAGTGACGGTGACGTCACCACAATGGACTGAGATGAGTGTACGCCACCGTGGACTGTATCACACCACTCACCCACGCAGGCGGAGAAAGTGAGGACTAGCCTACAGTATAGCCCCATAGGGATACGCTGGGCCGGTTAGGGGCATTGCCCGCCGGCAGTGACGTGAGAGCGATACTACGCGACATCAAATGGATAAATAGGGATGCGATTCATCGGCGATGTCCCAGGAAAACAACGGTGAAAGGGGGCCGATGTTAAGCGAGCAGTGACTGCATAGAGAATCACGGGTCCCCCCCATCCATGTTCCACCACCACCCAGCTTCGTAGCCTAGCCCCTAAGCCCTACCAGGTGCAGTTGCACAGCCTGCACACTCGACAGTCATGACCACCGTGGCCATACAACACAATCACCAAGACCCAGGGATAATGAGAGAAGCTTCCTCCGGGGAAAACAAAGAGCGGGTTTAGGGAGAATTGATATCATAGGGACCTCGTCACCTGTAATGGATCCACCTCCGCGGGAGGCTCCCCGGTTACGGACAGACGTTAGAACCCAGGGGCTCGGCGGCCCTCTCGGGGGTTAGCAGCTCACCCCGGTCCAACCCAGCAGCGACACAACTTCTCGCGGAAGTATCCGCTCCAAATTTGACCGACTTTGCACGACATACGGACGTTAGAAAACCCGACCGGTCGGGCTGGCGCACGCACCTGGAGATGGCAATCTCGGCCTTCTGTTTGGCGACGGCGGCGCCCCGCTGCGCCGCCTCGACGGCACGCTCCACCTTGGCCCGCGTCTTGCTGGCCCTGAGCGGCACGAGGCTGCGCCGCTTGCCCCGTGTCAACGTGCCCTGCCGGTACTTGCCCTCCTCGGAGCGGCCGTCCGGGTAGCTGGTGCGGCCGTAGCCATTGCGGCGGTTGGCGAGCCACTCGCCCTCGTAGCGCAGGCCGTCTGACCTCTGGCTCACGCCGAAGCCGCTGCGCTTGTCGCCTTTCCACTCGCCCGTGTATGTCTCCGTGGTGTTGGCCTCCACCTGCCGCGCCGGCAGACAAAACAGAAGATGGTGATGTGTGGTCATCATCATTATTAGCATTAATGATCGTTATTTTATTGATTTGTGTTTACCAGGGAAAGTTTCACCAAGTCTCAGGACTCGTTTTCAGGAGGGTCCTGCCAAGTTTTCTCAGTCAGGTTGGGTAATCCAAATTGAGTGATTTTCAACATTGAGACATTTCTGGGACCCTTTTTTGCTGGTATTAAATTCATGAAAAAAGAATCGCCATTACTCTTTATTGTCAGAAAGGGTAAAGTAAATTTGTTTTCATTATTTTTTCCTTAACTTTTCTTCTGCATCATTGGAATGTTTGGCCAATACCAGTTACACTGTATGGTTTTTAGTTACGGCAGGAAACTGTATGACCCTGAAGGAAACCCATACATAACAGGGGGAGGAGAAGATAGAAAATCCACACTTCAAACTAAACTATTTCTTTTTTATTTTACCAGCTAAGGCCCACTGAGCTATGTAGCTATTTTGCAGAAGCAACCTGGCCACAAATGATAGCCCAATGAAGTGACTTATCGTGTGCAAATTTATAGCAGCCAAATACTCTAAATGCATGTTGATTCTAAATGTGGAGGGAAAAACTGGAGGAGCTGGAAAAAAGTCGACGCAACCCACGAGCTCCTGTATACCAGGTGACGTAGTTAACATCTCGCCACCGTGGCACCCACATCAAGGCACCCGAGTCAGGAATGTAACCCAGGTCCTTCTTTCAGTGAAGCATGGGTGTCACCACTGCACTGCTGCCTGGCCGCCCACACGGTGGTCTAACGTCATAAAAATTATTGTTGGCGGATCTCTATCATCACCGTCACCACTGGTGTTCTTGTTACTGTCACCAACATCATCATCACTGCCAGCAACACTACCAGCACATGGAGTGTGTATGGTACCACACATCACCATGGTTACTCCTCTCCATACGTGAGCTGCTCAGACTCTGGGGGTCACTACGATGGTCCACGAGGACTGGCATGTGGGAATCACTGTCCTGACACGATGGGCGCGTTTCCGACACCGCTGCTGCTGCTGCTGCGTGAGCGGCACTCAAGCCTCGGAGACGAAGCACAATGAATGCAGCCCGCATCGAACCATCTGTGTGTTTGTTACTTCAACACGTCCCACGGAACATTACCGCCACGGAGATGGAACAATGAAATTGGCTCGTACGTACGCTCTAGATGGATTGTCACATCGTGGGACCATGAGAGATGGCGGCAGTTTGAGGAGGTCTTCACTCAAGAGTGGATTGATTGTGGCTGATGATGATGCTGATGATGATGCTGATGATGATCCATTTACGTGGCGTCTTATAGTTCAAATCTGTCTCACAGCCGTGCACCGAGGCAACGCAGTCCTGAGATCCAAGCCGAGAGTTAGCTGGCCACCTCTCACACGAACGCATTTTGGACCACGTGACGAGGCCTCTAGGCTCACGGTGACCTCACACCCACAAACGACGCACAAACTAGCAAGGCGCATTCGCAAGATCCGAACTGCCTATGCTTAGTACAGTCAATCACTGACAACAGAGCCCATAATTATGCACTCTATCTGGGACATGTTTCTTAGTCAGCCTGGGTCAAAACTGTGCAGTGTACTGCATCGCCAAATATCAGTACAAACCAACTCTTGCCACCCCAAACACAGATGCCACTTTCCTGAACTGTAATATGCCACTCATTGACTCTTAATGCAGCTAAGACACTAGTCCACGCAGTCATCACCAATAGTGTGGACTATTGTAACAGCGTTTTCAGCTGCACTAGCGCCATCCATCTACGTCCGCTGCAGTCTCTTCTGAACTCAGCCACGTGTCTGACAGTGCAGAAAGGAAAATATGATCACATTACACCAAACATTTGCAATAACCTGCAATGACCTGCACTGTCTGCCAATTAACCAAAATATTGATTACAAGCTGTGCACATTCATATAAACATGTGTCTACACCAATGTGCTCAACACGACCTGATGGCAATTTGTGTGCCGGTACACCCACCCCCACTCACTCATCCAAAGTCAAAGTTCCCCTGTATAGCCTTAACAGACTGTTGGGGAAAGTGCTGTTAGCAAGCACCAATGAAGGCCGGCACGGCAAAGAGGGTGTATGGCCAGTACTATGCTTGGCGTCCTTTGTCCCCAAATGTCAATGTTTGCACATCGCACCAGGTACTCATTTGAGGCTGAGTAGACCTAGGAGAGGCTCCGTACACTCGGACAACGGGATTCGGACCTCGCAGCTTCGCAGTCAGCAGTCCATCGGCCTAGAACACACCTAACCCACTCATTCACTTACCCACCCACTCACTCTCCTACTCAGCTGTCCATCAACATGGAACTCACCTACTCACTCACTCACTCACATACTCACCCACCCACTCACATACTCACCCACCCACTCACATACTCACCCACCCACTCACATACTCACCCACCCACTCACATACTCACCCACCCACTCACATACTCACCCACCCACTCACATACTCACCCACCCACTCACATACTCACCCACCCACTCACATACTCACCCACCCACTCACATACTCACCCACCCACTCACATACTCACCCACCCACTCACATAGTCACCCACTCACTCACGTAGTCACCCACTCACATAGTCACCCACTCACCCACTCACATAGTCACCCACTCACTCACATACTCACCCACCCACTCACATACTCACCCACCCACTCACATACTCACCCACTCACTCACATACTCACCCACCCACTCACATACTCACCCACCCACTCACATACTCACCCACCCACTCACATACTCACCCACCCACTCACATACTCAGCAATCCATCCGCCTGGAACTGACTGGCTCTGCACGATGTTTGAGACTCTTTACAGATATTTAACCAGTTCAGTAGAAAATGAATGTTGCGCACTCGTGATAACCTAGGTTATAGGTGTTGGGCGTCTATAAATGTACTTACTTACTATTCGGGTCAAACCTGGACAGGTGGCAACCGTATCCCCACGTGACATCATCATGTGTGGTCATCAAGCATCATCTGTCTCTTGTGAGCAGGCGCAGAATGGCTTTGTTACTAAACTGATTAAGGAGGCATCGAAAAAGCTTTTTTTCCATGCCAAAGCTTTGTTAATTCTGAACGATTATTACTGCTGCTGTACACTACATAGATTCGTCCGAAGTTAGAATCCTGCTGTCATATCTGGAGTGTAGCATCCGTTTCTTACTTTGCTGCACTTGACATAATTCAGTGTAAAGCCACAGTTAGGGTGATTGATGATCCAGCACTTACTAATCGAGTCCAGTCACTCACACACTTACTCCCCTATTGCTACTATAATGTATACTGTTCCCGCGAACCTCACTCATCGATTCCTCCAAATATGTTGAGGATTTGGTCTACCAGACTGACTGTTTCGTCTCATCCACTCTGCATTCAACTGCCAACATAATACAGGTCAAAACAATGCACTCACTCACCCACCCATCCACTCACCCACTCACTTACCCAACCACCACACTGGAGGTCACAACACTTCTCACACATTGACACTACTCAGACAAGAGGTGAGATTTTTTAAAAACTTGTCTACTTGGCGATTGCCGTGCCGGGGAGATCAAATTGAACCGGTGACCGCTGCATCGCAAGACCAGCGTATGACCTAAACGCGCGTAGGAGAACTAATCCCAACTGCAGGCGGGAATCGTCTGTCCTGTCTCTCCTCCGCCTCTCCATCCTTGTGAATATCCGTCAGTGCGTCCGATTGTACGTCCCTCCGATTCTCCGACTGTCCAATTGTCCGACCATCCTTCTGTCCCGTCCATCCTTCCCTCTGTCCGTGCACAAATCTGCCTTTCGTGCCGAACCCACCTCCGAGTCGAAGAGCTCCGTCTCAGGCTCGCCGAGGCTCACGGCAAGCGACGTGCCGTCGCTGGCAGCCGAGCTGATGGCGCTCATCCCGGCCTCGCTGCGGAATGAGCTGCGCTTGCTCCGCTCGCTCGACAGTGAGGCCTTCGAGTCGCTCCGGCGGAACTTGAGGCTGCCAAGCAGCGAGCCGCGTCGGAAGAGGCCTCCGCCACCACGCTTGCCACCGGCCTTGCCCCCCTGCTGCTCGCTATCGCTGTGGTGGACGCCAGTGAGCACGAAGCCACCCCGTGAGCCCACGGCCGAGCCGGCATCATCCCCGCTGCGCAGAGAGCCGCCAGCTCCCCCGCCGACCGGGCCCACGACGGAGCCGTTCGTCTGCTCACTGCGCAGGGAGGAGAGCGAAGTGCGCAGCGGGGAACGCACCACCGAGGCCAGCCCATACGGCACACTGTTGCGCACGCCATAGCCGTGCCGCATGCCGCCCGCCCACTGGCCCTGGTAGGTGCCTGCCGAGACGGGGAGCGGGAGGAGAGATTGGGCATGAAGAGAGCGGGAAAGAGGTGGACAAGAAAAGGAGAGGTTGAGAGCATTCACCGCCCGTGCAGTACCTCTCACTTCACGCCACAGCAGTCTAGCCAAGGGTACCCCCAGCGGCAGCTGTCACTGTGTGGCACCGAGTGAATGCACCGCTGGTCTGCGGGTGGGCACGAGTATGCCAGTAGTTAATTTGCGAGTAATTTACTAAATTGTAACCGTGACGCCGATACGCATGGCCTACTTTTTTTTTAAAGACTGTGAAGTAGACGACACAAAGTAGTATTTACGGCCAATACACACCTGCAATATTAACCTGGGTGGCAGCTGGGCTCAAACCTGTAAACGTCTGCAACAAGCGTGGCGTAACAAGGAATCCGATCGGGGTGGCTTTACGATAAACGCTGAAGCGCTGACTCTGGGCAATCGATTCGGGACGGCCCACATCCCTGCACGCTGGCCCCATCGGCCATGACTGCACGGCCAGTGCAGGTCCCCACAACCCCCCCCCCCCTCACACCATCTACACCTGGGCTCATGATAATAAAGGAAACGTGAACCAGGACAAACCTCAGCCGAGTGTCTTGCCACTTCGCGCTCTGTCGTGAAATAAAGTAATTGTAACAAAACAATTCTGCTCAACAAGTGAAACCCGCGGGAATCCTCTCACAGGGTTCCTCCACCGGGCACCTTCGCAGGTTCTCCCTTGCATGATTAGGCACCACGTGATGCACTGCAAAAGGAACACATTATGGAATCATAACGCAAGCTAGAGTCATCATGTTGACCGTGAAGAAAAGGAAGTGGCCTTGGGCAGGCCACGTCATGGCTAGAGATTGAAAAGAGTCAAAGCCAAAAGATGGAATGGCCACCATGGGGATGGAGTTTTGAAAATCGGCCAGTGTCTAGCAACTAGATATACCGCTGCATCGCGAGACAATGAGAGAAGGTGACAGACTGGGGAGTGGGGAGACCTTCATCCAGAATTGGATAAGTCATACCTGATGATGAATACATTTACAGTCCTACCAACCCAAGGATCATTTCTCGCACTTCCTAGGTCAGACCACACAGATGCAAGGGGTGGGGGGGGGCAGTGGGGGGGGGGGCAGCATGAGATGTATGCCCCTCAACGTGCTGTCAGCAGAGCTAATTACCACATGTCTTAGACTTTATTATTTTGGCATGAGCACGCGGTGCGGCTTGGGGTTAATTAAATTCATTAGTGTCCTCATTGAGAGTGGCGGCTAGAGTGGAGAAATGAAAGCGCCGCATAGACGCTGTGTGAGATGCGTTTCTCACTCGAACCAGGCCGGCGGTTGACGAGAGAGCCCACGAGAGGGCCCAGTAAAGACGTATGTGGTCTTACTGGGCTCTTACTGGGGCTTGAAGGAAATTGGCGGTGAATTGAATTGGCTAAGAAATAAAACCCAGGCGCGGTGACGCAAAGTGAAGGAGATGGATAGCCCATTTGATAACGCGTTCCTAAATGCAGCATTCGATTCGCGATGGGAACAAGACCCATCCGCGGAGCCACTTTGCGTCTGCTCTGGCGTTAGTGCTGAGGCTTTGGGTTATGGCGAGTTGTTATGCCCATGGGTCAGTGCAGAAATGGGTCCCGCCTAAGGAAGCACAACATTCGTAATGCCCATTTATTTATACAGTGTATTAGAAATGGATTACTTGATTACCCCACTCGCTTCAAATCGTTCTCATGATTCACTGTTTTAGCCACATCAAGAAATTTAAACTATTGAAGTTCTGCCATCTCAGGTGGTACTGACAAGGCAGATATCTGGGCTCATGGATTATGTAGTGAGGAACACAGTCCGACTTTATGTCAGTGTTAGAGGCAAAGTTATAGCAATGGTAAGGGTTAGCACTTAGATTAATTTTGACATGGTGGCTCATTTGTCAATCCACTGCTGGATGAGGGCCTCCCAATGCTGTGTGAGTCGTGGAGGTTGTTCGACCATACTTCACCGCGCTGGTCAGTAAGGGTTCAATCTATCACGGGCAACCTCTCCGTACATGAATTTAGTTATCACGGGGTTATTTTTGGCCTTTCGCACATATACACTAAAGTATCACTCGAGAAGCCTCTCGAGTGATGGTGTTGTGTGGCCGGTATCGTGGTGCGGGGTGGGCGAGGGACGCGAGGCAGTCAGTCGCACCTCAAACCTTTGCCATGCAAGTGTCACGCGGCCAAACACCCCCTGTGTAGCCGGAACAGATTGTTGGGGTAAGCGCTATTAACGAGCACTTATGAAGGCCGACACGACACACGAGGGGATGGGTGGCCAAAACCACGCCTAGCCACCTTTGTCTCCCCAGCAGCGATGTTTACACAATGCACCTGGGACTTATTTGAAGCCGAGTCGACCTACGGGAGGCCCATGACCGATTCAGATAATCATCTCTGGCGTTGGGCAGGAGTCAACCTTGGGACACCGGGTTCGTAGCGCTGTGCGCTCACCTTTGCATTACCGCTCCCCACATGCGGACAAACACACACCTGCTTTGGATCATGAGTATAGGATTTATTGAGTATTTACTTATTTATTACTATTTATTGTCTAGGAATGTTTTTTGGAACAATGTTTTTTCATGTTTATTTCAATAATTTTATGTTTTGTTTATTTGGCACACGGTACAGTACTTATTTCAATTATGATGTGTCTATGTCTGTGGTTGCCATGTACCTTCTAACCCCATTATTTAGGTAAGGCTTAAGTATCGAATATCGTGGTTTTGGCCTTGGTGGCACTTTACAAGAACGTAACCTCCGCGTTATTAAAGAGTCTCCTGCACCACGACCCGATGTGCATCACCCCAACCCACACTCGCGACGCTGACGGCATCGTCCGCCCCCTCTCGTATCCATTGCCTCCATCCACCCTGGACACCAACTCACTTCGTGTCGCACATTGAGAAGTGTACTGTAGAGTACACTATATCATTCGTGTACAGTATTTCGGTGATTTTATAGTGTGACAGTTTACTGCTGTACACCAGCGTTGAGTACAGTATTGTTAGTGATGTAATGTAACGGTGTGGTTACGTGGCCCTTGAGCATCATGCCTCGCAATTGAGTTTTAAGTGACGCGGATATATATGTGGCTAAGAGGCAGCGTAAAAGTGTTACGTACCTCCCTACAAGTGAAATGAGATGCGATTCGGTGCCGACACTGAGACACGAGGCGTCGGCTACTGTTAGTGTGTGGATTTGTAGGTTTGCGAGTGAGTGTTTGTGTGCAGATCTGTGGATTCGTGTGCAGATCTGTGTGAGCGTTTGTGTGCAGATCCGTGTGTGCAGATCTGTGTATTTGTGTGCAGATGTGTGTGTGAGCGTTTGTGTATAGATCTGTGGGTGCGGATCTGAGGGAGTGTTCGTGTGTGTGTGCAGATCTGTGAGAAAATGTGCAAGTATTTATTACTTGTTTGAATCTATGAGCGAGTGTTTGCGTGTGGGTGCGGATCTGTGAGTGTGCAGACTTGTGTGTGTGTGCGGATCTATGAGTGAATGTGTTGACGTGTTTGTGCGTGTATGCTGATGATCTGATCATTTCTATTCAGAGGAGTGGGAGGCGCTGCTGCTGAACCTGGAGCATACCACTAAGAGGTGGGGCCTTAAAATCATCCCTACCAAAACTCAGCAACGGCCTGGGTATTTTGTGCCATCAAACACCCCACCTCCTCAACTCCCCATTGGTGATAGGGCAGTTGTGGAGAGAGTGGAGAGAGTTTTCCCATACCTAGGCAGTGTGCTTATGACCAGCCCTGGCTTGACAGCAGATTTCACTCTGAATCAGGCGGCGGCATTATCTTTTCATCGGCTGCGTAACGCTGTTTGGAAGCTACCTGGTCTGTCGTTCCACACGAAGTTTCGGGTCTTCTCGGCCACAGTCATGCCCTACCCTATGCTTACGAAATTTTTACCCCCTGAATGGGAACATCTATGCTGATTAGAAACATTCAGGCTGGCCTGCCTACAATCGATCCTGGGTTTAACGTAGCTGGATTGTGTGAGGACCTCACAAATCCTTGAAAAATCGGGAAACCGTCTCATCAGTGAGCCTGCATTGGCTGGGGCATGGAGCAAACACGCCCAGCCACCGCATGCCCAAACAGCTTTTGTTTGACCGTGCAGCGCCCATTTACCCCCCTCTATTCCCGGACAAAAAAAAAATCTGTTTTGGTATGCAGTGGCTGGGCATGCGGGTTAGAGAAAAGATGGACTGATATAGTACACAAGAGAATATGGAGCTGAATGGACTTGCTAATGACTGGTACCAATGGTGTTAAGATCGGCTTCTGTGGAGGAAGCTCGTGAAGGACGCAACTGGGCAGAGGAAGGACGCTCACAACGAGGTGAGCGACGCGTGGCTAAAACACAGCAAGTTGGCACAGTCGGGGGGGGGGGGGGGCACAGGTGGTGCAACTGCCAGTCATCTCAGTCAACCCATGGCACCTGGGTCTATCCCGTGACCTGCCAGCGAGTCATCACACTTCACGTGGCCTTAAAGTGCACATAGCCTGGCACAAGCGCCGTGGTGAAGTTACCACCACTTAGTGGTGAATAGCGGTTGGTTTTGTGTGTGTGTGTTGATCAGTGAGTGTGTGTATCTTTGTGTGGGGAGAGGTAGTATAACGGTTAGCGCGCTGCGCTACAAACCTGGCGACTGGGCCCAATTCCGGCTCATGGCCAACACCAGTGACGATTATCTGAACTGGTCCTGGGCCTCCCCTAGGTCGACTTAGCCTCAAATGATTACCCGGTACAGTGTATAAACATCGCGAGTAGGGAGACAAATGCGGCCGGGCATGGTGTTGGCCACCTACCGCTCGTGTGCTGTGCCGGCCTTCATAGGTGCTCGCTAACCGTCACTTGCCTCCACCTCACCACCGTCTACCCAGCAAGCAAAGCCAAGCCCAGTACCAAAGGTAATAAAAAATCTAACTGTAAAATGTT